TTTATGATGTGTCCAAAGGTCTCCCTTTTGAGTAAAACACTTTCCACATTCTACGCATCTGTATGGCTTCTCTCCTGTGTGGAGCCTCTGATGCGTTCCAAGGTGTTGTTTTTGTGAAAAACATTTCCCACACTCCCCACATTTGTATGGTTTTTCCCCTGTGTGGATTCTCTGATGATTCTGAAGCCCTCCAAGGAAATTAAAACTTTTCCCACACTCCCCACACTTATAGCGTAACTCTCCTTTGTGCCTCTCCTCGTGTCTCCGAAGTTCATAAGAAAACGTAAATCGTTTCCCACATTCTGGGCATTCATAGGGTCTGTCTCTGGTGTGAATTCTCTGATGTCGCATCAGGTGTGATTTCTGGTAAAAACATTTACCGCATTCGAGGCACTTTTCCTTTTTCTCCCCTCTGTGCATTTTCTCATGACTCCGAAGACCTGAACTCTGGGTGAAACATTTCCCACACTCAAAGCATTTATATGATTTTATTCCTGCATGAACCTTCTCATGGGACCAAAGACTTGAGTTCTGAGAAAAGCTCTTTCCACATTCCCAACATTTGTAAGGCTTCTCCCCTGTGTGAAGCCTCTCGTGGTTTCTGAGGGTGGATTTCTCAGAAAACAATTTCCCACATTCCAGACACTGATAGGGTTTCTCTCCAGTATGGATTTTCTGATGTGTAAGAAGACTTGACTTTTGACCAAAGCATAAATCACATTTTATACATCTATAGGGTTTTACTCTGGGGGGTTTTTTGAGACCTTTGGTGTCTGTTCCAGAGGATTTCTCACCCTCCAAACCTTGACTAGATCCACTTCCCGTATGGATCTTCTTGTGGGTAAAAAGCACTGATCTGCGAGCAAAGGATTTCCCACACTCTGAGCATTCATGGGGTTTTTTGTGGTTTTCCGGAGTGCTGATTGTGTCTGATGGGGGATCCAAGAGTTTCCCAGGCTCCATGCTTTCTGGCGGCTGCTGCCTTGTGTTGATTTTCTATTATGTGTTGAATTGCAGATAAATCTTTGGTTACAATCTTTTATCTGCTGTGAGAATAAAAAAGAAATCGAGAATAATATTTCCTTCTGAGAATGGTAGAGAATCACAAAATCTCAGCCTTGGAAGGGACCTTGAAGGTCTTCCAGTCCCACCCTCTGCCCAGGGTAGGGTCCCCAGTACACCCGAGACAGTGATGGAGGCCCTACATCTGTAGGAGAGATATCCTCCACTTATGACCACAGTCGGGACTGGAATTTCAGTTGTTCAGTGAAGCAGCGGTTAGGTGAGGAGTCACATGATCCCTTGGATCTACAACCATAATCCCACACTGCTGGTTGCAATCATTAAGTGATCTTGAGGGTTCTTAAATAAGGGGAGGACCAGGCAATGGTGGTGGTGGGGGTCCTGGATACCAGGCATAGGCCACCCATGAGTTGGGCGGGGGTCCTGAAGTGGGATATAAAGCTGTAGCCAACCCTGGAAGCCTGAGCTATATACAACCACAGCCATGAAAAGCAGCCCTGATTGACAACAATGCTGGGACTGCGTCTTAAGTGGAGGCCTGGCGCACTCAGCTATTTCAGCCATCTGCCACTGACCCCAGGAGTGGACCTCAGCCCACTGTCTCTGCTGCCATTGAGAAATGAGGCCTTAATCTCCAAAGTGGAGGCCTTTGCAGCCTTGCGACATTTTCCAAGCCGCCTGTTCCATACTGTTGCTAAGCAACGTGTCCCAAAGCATCTCTAACCTTCTTCAGGGCCCCCTCAACTTCCACATTTCCTGTGCCAGGACTCACAGGGCCTCCCCTGCCCACTTAATGGCCGCTTCTCTCAAAGACTGAGATTCCTGTCTGAATTATGCTCATAATACGAGGAGTACCTATAGGGAATCCCCAAAATGAAGGCATCACTTTAGCAAGAGAGGAGGGAAGAGAGTTCGGGTTAGTGTAATCAACCCATTCCCGATTCCCTTTTTCTTGCTTTTTCCGATTTTTGCACCATTGAGCTCCATCCCATCATGACTTCTTGATCCCAGCCTCCTCGTGACACATACATTTTATAAAATACTACAAGGGGAAAAAATGGACCCAGGAAATTATAGACCAGTCAGACTGACATCAATACCTGGGAAGATCCTGGAAAAGACAATCAAGCAAGGAATCTGTGAAAACGTAGAAACCAACAAAGCTATTGCTAGAAACCAACATAGGTTTGTCAAAAACAGATCACGCTAGACAAAACTTAGTGCTCTCTTTGACAAAGTGACTAAAGTGGCTAAAATAGTGGAACAGTGAAGTGGACATACCCTCCATGTTTCCCCGGAAATAAGACTCGGTGTTATAGGTTTTTTTGCCTCCAAAAGAGGCACCAGGTCTTATTTTCAAAGGATGCTTTACCTTAGAACAGCCACAGCCATTTACTCACCATTAAAATTGCAGCTAAGAATTCTCTGGGTCAGTTGTTCCCCCTCTGAATCAACGGCAGGGATGACCCCTCACTGCTGACAGGTTTGATTTCTCCGTAACCGATTGGCAGCTGATTTCCTGCTGTTGGAACAAGAAAGAAGATGAGAACAGGATTTCCTTTCGAAAAACATAGAAAATCACAAAATTGTTGGGGTCAAGATGCTGACATTCGTAAACTGCTCAGAGAGTGCTGTAAAACACTTCGTTTCTAAGTTTTCTATTATCTGTGGATAGTTGGTTTGCAGGTAAATCTTTGGTCACAGCTGCTTTCCTGTTGGTGGAAGAGAAGAGAAGCAGAGAATATATTTCCTTTTGAGATTGATAAGAGAATCACAAAATCTTTGCCTTGGAAGGGCTTCCTGGGGTCGGCATTTCGAAAAATATTTACACCTTGTTCTGATATCAGATAACAAGACCAGGCTCACAATCTCTATAAAACGTGTCCTTTGTAAAACATCCATCAACAAGGTGCTTCTACATCACAACCTCTTCAGGGAAAACAAGGAAGATATTGTTTGTAGAGATTCTGCCCAACTTTTCAGGAAAAAGCAAACTAAACATTAGTAATAATAATAATAATAATAATAATAATAATAATAATAATAATAATAATAATAATAATAAAGTTGGAAGGGACTTTGGAGGTAATCTAGTCCAACCCCCTGCACAGGCAGGAAACCCTATACCATTTCAGACAAATGGCCGTACAGTCCCTTGCTTCTTGTCCTGCCTTCAGGTGCTTTGGAGAATAGCTTGACTCCCTCTTCTTTGTGGCAGCCCTTGAGATATTGGAACACTGCTATCATCTCACCCCTAGTCCTTTTCATTAAACTACTAGACATACCCAATTCCAGCAGCCGTTCCTTATATGCTTTAGCCTCCAGTCCCCTAATCATCTTTGTTGCTCTTCTCTGTACTCCTTCTAGAGTCTCAACATCTTTTTTACATCGTGGTGACCAAAACTGGATGCAGTATTTCAAGTGTGGCCTTACCAAGGACTTGTAAAGTGGTATTAACACGTCACTTGATCTTGATTCTATCCCTCTGTTAATGCAGCCCAGCACTGTGTTGGCTTTTTTGGCAGCTGCAGCACACTGCTGGCTCCTATTTAAGTGATTGTCCTATTCACCCGGACTTAGGGGACAGTAGCAATTGTGACTATGTGGAGATGGCCCAGCTATCTCTGGCCACCTGCAGAATCATGAATATAAGGTCATAAAAGGACAGCAAAGGAAACACCCAATATCCTAACCCACCCGGGAACACATGGTGTCTTGGGGAATCACCTAAACCACCCAAAAGGGAACATATGGTGCCTGGGGGGGGGAAACACCCAAAAGGGATCATTTCTAACTACTTCTTTCTTCCTTCTTATCTACAGTGTGCCAGCCTTAAAGGGCAAAGTCTTTATCTTATGTGTGTCAGCTTTGCTGGGTGAATTGCTTATGTAACCAAAGAAGGTATAAAAATAAGGCTTTCCTGATATTTGGGGCTTTTTCTTTTTAGAGAAGCCCGTCTTTGTTCAGCTGAATAAAAACGTAAAGCTTGAAGGCAACTTCTGGTTTCCTGTATTTTTTATCAAGCAAAACTTCAGAACTTGCACACCAGTCCACTAGGACTCTGAGATCCCTCTCACAGTTACGACTATTGAGCAAGGTACCCCCTATACTGTACCTGTGCCTTTAGTTTTTCTTGCCTAAATGTAGAACCTTCTGGTATATAGTATATGAACAAAGATTATTCATTCCTCTTTTTTTTGGATTAAGTAGAAAGAAAAAGGATCTGACATGATAGCTTTGTTCCAATATTTAAGGGGCTGCCACAAGGGAGCAGAGGTTCAAACTATTCTCCAAAGCACCTGAAGGCAGGACCAGAAGCCATGGATGGAAATTAGGAGACATTTCCTGAAAGCCAGAACAATTAAGCAGAGGAACTGGCTGCCACCAGAAGTTCAGGGTGCTGCATCACTGGAGGTTTCAAAAGAGACTGGAGAATGCTTCTCTGTAATGTTAGGGGTTCTCCCGCCTGAGCAGGGAGTTGGGCTAGAAGGCCTCAAACATTCTTTCCAGCTCTATTATTTTTTTATTCTGTTATCCTTTTTGGGGTTGGGAGAATATGAGCTCAGTTCAGTCATAAAGGACCTGTGACACTCCAGGCCAGTTTGGAGACCCTACAGGCCTTCAGAGCCCCCTGGAAGCCGCCCTGTGGAGCCTCTGATGAGCACCCAAGGGGCCTCCTGCCCTTTTTGGAGGCTGCAAGGCCAGGACGTTTCCTGGTCTCCAGTGAACCGGAGCTGTCTGGGTTTATAAGCATTGCTAAAAACATTGACAACTGTGTAAGCATTTAACAATTAATTTAAACAATTCAACGTATTATTCCTTATAATATTTCATAATCAATAATGTACAAGGTAAGTATTTATTTAACAATGAATGGAAATAATTTATTATTCTTTCTTATAATTTTCAAAGTGGGTGGGATGGGGGGGGGGAGTGTCCAGCAGAGTCAAAGAGGGAATTCTGAATTTTTGACAATCAATCAGTGGCTCAATTCAACCAGCTAAACCTTTTCTTTTCCTAACACCCCCGCTCCCCCCCTCCCCCTTGAAATGAGGTCAGGTTGTGACAAGATCACATTACAATCTCAATAAACGTTTTAAAGCTACACTTCGCTCCCTTTTCAAACTGCACTGGAGGGAAACGGATGTTCAGAGGCTTCCTGTTCACACGGACCAGAGAGAGACCTTCTGAAAGCAACTTCCCCAAAAGCCCCTTCCCGGATCCACCCGGAGCCCCACGGGGAGCCCTGGCCGGGCGAGGAGGGGGCAGATCCAGCCCGGGGAGGGAGGGACCCCCCTTTGCCCCCCTGGAGGGAAGGGAGGGATCCACTCCCTGCAGGCGACGCCAGAGCAGAATCTCCCCAAGGAAAACCCGGGAAGCCGGAGAGGCGGATCCGCAGCTACCTTTCTCCTGGCGGGGGGGGGGGGAAAGATCTCCTGGCGGGAGGGGCGCCCCAAAGGCCGGAGGGGGAGCAGCCCGACCTGCCCCGAGCGGGATCCAGAAGCCTCTCCCGAGGGATCCAGCGCCGATCCTGCCAGGGCGAAGCGAGACCCACGGAAGGAAGCGGAGATCCAGCCAATGGGAGCAGAGAGGCGGGGGCGGGGCTTCTGTTCTCCTCCTGGGCTCCGCCCCCGCCTTACAGCCCCGCCCCTCAGCAGCCTCAGAACCTCCCCCCTCCCTTCCCCTTTACGCCTTCCCAGCTGGGAC